AGAGCAGAGGACAGGTCACATGGAGGTGACAGCAGGGTTACCAGTGACGGCAGCACTCCCATCCTGAGCAGCCTGACGTCTGCTGCCTGGGCGGTGCCCTGGCTCCACATGTCTGAACAGCCATCACCCCATGAGCGACTCTAGTGCCCAGGAGAGCCGCTCACAGCAGCCCCAAACTCCACGGCCTCACCCAGCTCACACTAGGGAGTGGGCAGCCCAGACCCAAGGATTTGCCACCATGGCAGACACTGCTGGGCCTGATGGAGGAAAGGAAACATGCGCAGACATGAGAGATCTTCAGGAGGTAGAGTCGCATGATTTGGTGAGTGAGTGGGCTGGGCAGGTGGGAATAGCAGGCATCAGCACTGAAGCCCAGTTTTCTAGACGTCAGTGGGTGGTGCCAATTACCAAAGAGAGGATGTGAGGGAGGCCTGGAGGCAGGTTCTGTGCTCTGGTTTAAACAGGGTGAATTGGAGTCCTGACATCCCTAAGCAGAGATGTCCAGGAGACGCAGCCCAGACAGGGAGGTGAAATTAGACTTGAGGTTCATCAGTACGCGTTGGTGAGAGAGGCTGTGGGAACAGACGGCATCGCCTAGGGAGAGACCTAGTGAGAAGGGAGGATGCTTAAGTCCCACACCTTGAACAACAGCAGCGTTAAAGGCCTGGGCAAAAGAAGGGTGTCTGGGAAGGACAGCCAGCGAGTCAGGAGGACACAAACGGGGCAAGGTGGCCCAGGAGACAGTCTTTGTGCATTTGACCTGCCCTCAGCACTAGCCACTTCCTGCACTGACTGCCGTTAGCACAGTTTCTTTGTAGCCTTTCTTATGTTTTTTAATCTGTATTCTTTTTTTCTTTTTACTTCTACAATCACATTTTAGTTTTCTTTTTTCTTTAATGAAATCTTTTAATTATAGAAGTAATATATTTTCATTGTAACAAGTTAAAACAGAGACGTGTGAGGGACCCAACATAAACAGTTCCTTCCTTATTCATCTCTGGGCCCCTAACACACACACACCCCACCCCATACACACAGAAATATGCAAACACACACAGGTTTGTTTTTTGTTTTGTATTGCACACAAATGGGAGACAATATATCAGAAAATTTTTTCACATATTTCATGGAGATATATATTTCATTCTCTTGTTATTTAATGCTATTCTGTAGTTTAGCTACATCAATCTTTTTTTTTTTTTCTAAATGTTCTTGAGATCATGGCCTATATTGTGATCCTCTTTTTTCACTTAATTTTAAATGGATTCCCATGCCATTAAAGGCTCTTTGTAAACATAATTTCGGTGACTGCATTATATTCCAGAGTATAATTTACCAATTTACTTTCTACCAATTTGGGGCTATTAAAAATAATATCACAATGAACATTATAGAGCATGAAACTATGTCCACATTTCTGGTTATTTTCTTTAGGATATGAACACTTGGAATCTTTGTCCATGCTGCCAAATTGCTTTCTTCAGAAAAATTATAACAATCTGTACTCCCACCAGCAATGACTGAGAGAGGCTCCCAACGTCTTTTCTTGAATGTTTACTAAACTGTTAGACTTAGTGGTGCGTTCTTGCTTCAGCTGGCATTGTAGCTTATCCGTGGTGCTAGTTTTGTCCAGGTTAATAATCATCCATTTGCAATTCCTCTTCTAAGAATTATCTGAACCTGCACATTGCTCTAGTTTTCTAAAGTTAGCTTCCTCCCTCACCACCAGTCCGGCCCAGCCCTGAGCTCTCCTGCCCCGGATGTTTATTCGCCACCCTTGTCTCCACAGTGGTCCTTTCCCTCCTGGTCCTGCTCACAAGTCTTTCCCGTCCCCTCTGTCCCCTCCACAGCGGGTCTCTCTCATGGGTCCGCCTGTGGGTGCACCTTGCTCAGCATTCCCCAAGCGCCCGCGCCGTGGAACAGAGCTGCCAACCATGAGCCCAGAATGTCCAAGCAGGCTGTCGGGGTCTGTCACAGGACGGGGGTCCGTGCTGACAGGCCAGGAGACACAGCAGGGGCTCTGGCTGCCCTGACCCGGGCCCAGGGAGGGGTGAGATGCCACTGTCTGGGCCTAACCTGCTGGGACTTTGCATGACCCTCTCAGCTACCCGTTTTCCCGCCCTCCTCTTATCCTGACTCAGGCTTTAACTTTCACAAATGATACAATGTGCTGGTTTGGGGTTTCTGCAGGAGAATTTCTGTGCTCCTAGGGGCACGGGGCCTGTTTGCCCTCGTTAGAGAAGAGGGGCCCTGGATGCTCTGCAGACGCTGCCAGGCCACAGTAATACGCAGGGGCTGTTCGGGCTGCGGTGTGTAAACCTGGCTCTTCTTAGTGAGACTTCGCAGAAATCCCACTGGAGACTTCCCTGCCCCTGCCCTGTCTACTTTCCTTCATAATGATAAATGGCTGAAAAGAAAACTATCTAATCTCCAAACTGCTTGCTTTTTTCCTGCTCTTTCTTCAAGGAGAGAAGGAAGAACACGGTCACATAAAACAGAGTCCTTCATCGCCTGCTTCTCAGGAGACAGTTCTTTCTCTTTTCATCCCAGGCCTGTTTCTGATCTGTGATGGGCTCGCATTGAAAGCTCCAGCCCGGCCCTCTCTAATCAGCTGCGACAGCCGCTGCGGTCGCTTGGGTTGCCCATCGAAATTGAATTGATTACCCGGCCCCCTTGCCGTTTTGTTCGGCGCACAATTGCTTAATAGCTGTCACCTTGGCTTTGAGTCCCGGCCGGCTTCAGGCTGACTGGTTCCCATTACTCAGGATGGCCAGTGCAAGTTCATCACCTCTACAGGATGTCCCTGATTGATTCCGTATGCCTTGGAGACCTGCAATATATTTGCATAGGGGGGAGAAAGGGGTGGCTGGGAGACGGAATAGAGATCCCTTGGCTGCAGGAACTGCCAGGTTTCACTGCGGGGCTCGCCATATTTGAATCATTACCAGGACTTCTTGTCAGGAGTCTGGCCTCTGCTGACATAGCTGCTAATGAATTTGTAAATTTTTAAAAAATACAAAACAACCCAGCCTGTTCTAACCTTTGCTGTCGCCACCTGCCACGTGGGTGGGGGAGGCAAGCAGAAAGGGCGCTGTTCCGGCCTGAGCTTGTGCTGGCCTTTGAAATGACAGTCCCTCCCTCCCCACCCCTGCCCCTGCCCGCTGAGTGCTGAGCGGGAGAACCAGGCTGGGAGGGAGACATCTTTCAAGTGAAATCCCTTGCACTGGGAACTACTTCAATTAGACAGCAGGGGGAATGTTAACATGCCCTCCGGCCTTTTAAGTGGGTTTTAATTTTATGTTGTAAGATAAGACACTGCAAGGCCGGCTGCTGCTCCTCCAGCAGGCTCCATTAGTGGGGCGAGCCGAGGCCTCTTGACCCCCCGAGGCCCAGCCGAGGCTGGAAGTTGGTTTGGTTTTTTAACAATTTGTCAGTCTGACCCAGCTTCTCCTTTCCTCTCCCTTTTGTGATTCCAGGCTCTTCCATCTTGGAGGGCCGTGGGGCGGCTGGTGGAGCTGCTGAGAGGCCCAGCCTGGCTTCCCCACAGTGGCCGGGCCCTCGGCTGGGGAGCAGAGGCTGCCGGCCCACGGCCACGCAGCTGAACGTTAATCAGCTTTTGTCCCTTCCCAGGCAGGGCACAGCAGAAGCAGACCCTTTTCATGTGGCAGGTTTCTGGACCGATGATGTATGACCTGTTGGCGCTACTGAATGGTGCCCTTTGTTCCGGGATATCCCATGTGCACCCTTTTTATTGAGCTGTTGATTCAGAGGGGCAGGAAAGTTCCACAAATCCCACTACAGGCCTGGCTTTAGCCATGCCCAGATGGGGAAGCCAAGGGACCTCATGCTTCCCAGAAAGCGGGTAGGAAGCTGTGGGCTGCCTCAAGGCAAAAATACCCCTTAAGCAGCAGCTTGCTCTACCTCGGATTCAGCTGTGTGTCTGGAGAGAGCCTGGGAACGTACATAGCCCCAAGCCTGGGTTCTAGAAGGTGTGGAGTATCCCATATGTGTAGTCTTTGCCCAGAAGGAAAAGAACAGAGCAGGTGTGAGTTAGGAAGAGCCCCCCCCTTCCCCATCCCCTGAGCCAAGCCCAGTTAAGTTTTTCTCTGTGACCAGCAAGCCCGAGGTGGGAGCCAACAGCTAAGGGAGGAAGGAGCTGGCCTCCTGTTCTGCTGGAAGGCGGCCAGCCAGAGAGCAGCACTAGAGCCGCAAGGGCAGGGCTCTGGGGAAACAGGAGACAAGGCTGACTTTTTACCCAGCAGGAAATCTCATCTCAGCCCTGACAAGGACAACGATTCAAGGGCACTTCACTTGCCTTCTCTTCTGCTGGTTTCCCAGACCAGCCTGCAGTGGAGATGGCACATGAGGGTGAGTGGCTTTGGGGAGGGAGCCACGAGGGGTGGGGGCAAGTTGCAAGGTGTTGTGAGGAGGTACACCTGCCCCTCGTCCAATCTAGTGGGGCGAACCTGGGCTGGATGTCATCTCCTTTTTTTCCTCTCACCTCGTGGCCAAGCTTCAAGGATCTGGCAAAGGAGTGGGCAAGCGGGGGCCTTGCCCGGCCTTGAGTCACCCTCTCTGGGGTGACTGTGGTGATGAGCTCACACCTCTGACTGCTCCAGGAAGCCCCAGGCACTGACTTGAACCTGCTCTTCAGCTCCTTTTCTGAAGCAGCTGTACAGATCCCCCCAGGAATTTCCTACTTACGAGACCCTTTCCCCCAAATTGCCAGGTTAGGTGTTGACTTGCTGCCTGCCGCCCTTCTGGGATCTTTGTGGGCGCTGGAATCCAGACTCACATCCTGGGAGTCACAGGAGAGCGAAGGTACAGTTGCTCCATTGGTCCTAAATTACTTCACTCTGCGATCAGAGGCTTCATGGTGCAAATGCTCAGAGGCACTGAAGGCCTCACCTGGCACTTGAGAAAAAACACCAGCAATAGGGAGGCAGACACCATGGCTGAGCCGAGAAAGGACAAGTCAGGAATAAAGAGCATCCACACGCTTCACAGTTGTAAAATGGCTTTATGTTCCCATATGTAAAATAAAATGTCCATGCTATATAACACTTGACGTTCCATATCGCCTGTTAGTTAATGTGTTTTCTACAAAAGCTTTACCTGTGGAGTGTGTGTGTTTTCCTATATATATGTGTGTCATCTAAACCATTTTTAGTCTTTAACATCAAACATGTAATAAAAATTTAAATAGATGTCTTTCCAAATACCTCCAATGTTCATTTTTATTAAGTTTATTCATTTGTAAAAAGCAAAGCTGAATTTGACGTGTGGCCCGCATTTGTGAGATATATATATATATTTATTTATTTATTTATATAATATATAAATAGCTATTCGGCATGCAAAGAGTTTAGTGATTTCTCAAATTTGACTTAGAGTTCACACCAGCTACACCGATGGTCTGGTGACATTCAACAGTAAAGAGCAGGGCTAAGGACTGTGAGAGCACCTCACTGGAGAATTATCTTTGCTCCTCTGAGCTCACTGGCTGAATTCACACTCATCTTTCAATTCTCTTTATTTCCATTCGGCTTTCTTGCTCCAGGCAGAGGTGTGGATTTTCTGGGAGCAGAGCAGGCCCTGGAGATGCCTGCCATCGGCTCCAATGTGGTCTTCTGGGGATGCTGCCAGGGGAGATACGTTTTTATAATTGCCAGTCATAGGATGATGCAGATGGTGCCCGAGAGGCTGCATCTTGCGCACCAGAGTAACAGACTGCATGTTGGGGGCCTCGGGGGAAGGGCTTTGTACCTTATGACAAAATCTGAATGACAAAGATGCTATTGGTTACATTTTCCCTCCTCTTAAAAAATACTTTTAGCACATGATCCTTTCTGCAAGTCGGCCCTCAGCCCTCTGAGCTCCAGGAATCGATGTCTAGGCCACTAACTGAGCCAGCTCTACTCTCAAAGCACACTCTGGGGCTGAGCCGAACCCGCCTCTCAGGTACTCTCGCAGAAGCCAAAAGCGTGGGCCTCCTGCTACCAAAACGAGATTCTCAGCTCTCTTTGTAAACAGAAGGCCAGGAGCTCTAAGCTATGTGCAGAGCCCTCCCACCCCAGCAGTGAGACTCTCTCCTGTAGAAGGGACCTTACCCCCTTGGCCCCTGAGTAAATCAAAGATTATATTATAAAAACCTCTAAATACCTCATATGAACTCTCCACGCCCATCCCACCCATGGGCATCCCAAGAGATGTCAGGTAACAATGAACCCAGGTCCTGCAGCCAAAATCACTTCTCAGATAATTGTGGGTTTTTTTTCTTTCGTGGCCTCAGTTGTATGTCAGAAGATAGATGTTCTCCAAATGCAAACACACACGAGCTCGTACACACGCTCCCCCTCTGAAATACCTTCCTGTGTTTCTTGGTAGTGCAGGCCACCCACCGAGGTTGACACTGGAGCAACATGGTCCCGGGGCTGCCGAGGAGACGTGGAAGTCATCCGTCAGTCCAGTTCTCTACCGTCCCCATTCCTGAATGATACTGTAAGGAAGACTCTCGGGACAAGGAGAAGGTTTGAGAGTAGAGAAACTCGTTGGCAGCATTCAGGTGTGGAGAGGGCGGCTTCCTCTCACACACTGGGGGGAGGCCACGCTCTCTTGGGAATGAGGCGGCTGGCCCCCGCTCTCGGACCTGAGATTGTGAGAGCTGATTGTAGACACTGAAGTGGGTGTTTCCTGGTGGCTGGGAGCTCTGAGCAGAGAGGGTGGGCAGCCGAGGCATCATGGTGGTGGCAGTGAAGTGCGTGGGGAAGGGCTGGTAGGGCACAGTCTCCATGGTCTGGACGCTGTAGCTGGTGTACGGTGAGACTGAAGTCCACATGTTACAGCTCAGCGGAGGCGGGGGCAAGTCATCCACCCCAGACACCCCGGCAATCTCGGGCCCGGAACCTGAGTACATGCAGGCTTCTCTTGGGGTCACCTCACTGCAATAGGAGGGGCTCAGCATCTGTTGGTCGTAGGGAGGGGGAGAACGGAAATAGTGATCCTCCCCTACTGAAGAGGGAGCTTCCAGATAGGACCGCTTACAGGGTAAGTCCAGGTGGCGGGCACTGTCTGCTGAAAGACAAAGAAATATCAGGGAGAGCTATTTCCACTGGCCCAGGGCACCCTGCTGGATGCCAGGACAGCCTGCCCTTGTCACTGAGCACCCGCCCTTGCCTCATGTTACCATGGTACTCCCAGAGCCATTTTAATCAGCTACAGCTTTTATAAGGTGGCAGCAGCCAAAAAGCGGTCAGATTACGGACCCTACTCAAAGGCCACGGGGGACACCACATCGCTGGACACTGAGTGCGGTGCTCAGCCAGGCAGCACATGGCTTTGATCCTTTGCCAGCCTGACTCTTGCGATAGTAAGAGGCCTTGGTGTGCAGTGGCATTCTTGGGCTAGGCTGGCCACGGGAAGTGGAGGCTATTGCCAGGCCAGTCCAGGCTCAAAGGCCACATCTGTCTGAAGGAGCCAAAAAAGTAAGGCCATGAGGTTTCTGTCTCAATCCTCCGCTCCCAGGAAGGCTTAAGCAAGCCAAAGCTACTCACAGGCATGTTGCTGTTGCTCTTAGAAGAGGAAGTCACCCTACATGGGTTTTATTACACAGATTCTAACATAAAAGTGGCTGCAAAATTAAGACATGGAGCAAGTAGGCCAGGCGCGGTGGCTCACGCCTGTAATCCTAGCTCTCTGGGAGGCCGAGGCGGGCGGATCGTTCTGAGCTCGGGAGAGCGAGACCCCGTCTCTACCAAAAAATAGAAAGAAATTAATTGGACAGCTAAAAATATATATAGAAAAAATTAGCCAGCGCGTGCCTGTAGTCCTAGCTACTCGGGAGGCTGAGGCAGTAGGATCGCTTGAGCCCAGGAGTTTGAGGTTGCTGTGAGCTAGGATGACGCCACGGCACTCGCCCCAGGCAAGAGAGTGAGACTCTGTCTCAAAAAAAAAAAAAAAAAAGACATGGAGCAAGTGAAAAAGGTGACATAGTTTTCAGGCTGAGCTGATATGCTGGGGAAAGATGATATCAGATGCCATAAATCATGTGTGTGTGTCTTTCAACCTCCTCACCCATGAGGGCTTAACTGTCTCAAGTGATACAACCTCCCCTGGGCCAGGGCTGCTCCAGGCCTGAGGGCTTGGGGAGCAGCCCACTCAGCCAATTTAAGAACACTCACCCAAGGCTCATCTTGGCCTCCTGTTTGTCTAGGGATCCACTCTGGTAGCTGCGTGTGTACACACGGGGCTCCAGCAGCAGGGCTGACTGAGTTTGAAGACCTGTGTGCTCCTCCCCGAGAGGCACGTGCCCTGGTGGGGGATCCGTCCCTCTCCCTGACCGGTTCTTACTTGCCCCTCCCCTCCATCTTCTCTCCAAACCCCTCCTTTCTCCCTGTACCAAGTTCTTGGTCTTGGCAGGTGACCAGTCACTCTAGGTCAGGAGGGAGCAAACTTTTTTGGTCAAGGGCCAAATAGTAAATAGTTAAGACTTTGTGAGCCACACTATACTGTTGTCCCACGAAAGCAGCCACAGACAATATGTAAGTAAATGAGTATGGCTGTGTTCCAACAAAACTGTGTCTATGGAGGCAGACTAAGATTTGAATTTCATCAAATGTTCACATATCATGAAATAGTCTTTTGATTTTTTTCCAATGATTTTAAAATAGCAAAACCATTTTGTACAGGTGGCAGGCAGGATTTGGTCCAAGGGCCACAGTTTGTGGATCCCTGCTGTAGGCCATTGAGTTCTAGCAGGACTTGTGCAGGGGCCAGTTGGAGCTCGGCCTGGCTAGTCCCTGGAAGTGGGACTGAGAGAACATTCTGGATTGCAAGCAGAAGTCCCCAGACTCATTCCCAAGGGAATTCCAGTGGTCTGGTGAGGTCTTCTGGTGGAATAGCACTAATCATCCCAATTCTGGCCATGGAAAAAGCAAGACCTGGTATGATGAGGTAGAGAGCCCTGTACACAGGACTCTGGAAGTTGCTTTGATAAATGATAGCCCCAATCCAAAAACCTCTGCCTTGTGAAGCTTCAGTGTCCTCCTATGCCCTTTTAGGCAGAACCCAGTCTGGGGACAAGGCCACAAGCTGGCTGGGAGGTTTCCAAAGGCTGCATCAAAAGCGAGAACCATTATCCCTGCTCTGGAAAGGAGGGCCCGTTTCCAGCCATGGTCCCTAACCCTTGAGGCCCACTCTCCTAGGCCACACAAGCACCCAGATAAGTGTGTGTGTGGTGGGGAGGACCCCACCCCTCCTCTGACCCTCCAGGGCTGTAGACCAGGAGAGAGCTACCTCGTCTTTTCAGGCAGTGATAGAAGAGGCTTGAGTCCCTCTGGGTGGGGAAGGTGCTGAGGGGCAGGTCCTGCGGCTCAGCCAGCTGCGCGTGCGCCCCGTTCTCATGCTGGTAGTGCTGGAGCGCCTGGTGAGCGCCGAGCAGGGGGCCTACGTCCGGTGTGGCTGAGAGCTGGGGGGAGACGAGTCTCTGCCTCATGATGCTTTTGGAAATCACAGGGTATTCTTTGCTGAAGGGGCAGGGAGGACAGGCAAAGACAAGAGAGTAAAGATGCCTTGAGGGTTACGGAGTCCCCATGCCTGCACCCAGTCTGCCTACCCCACCCATAGGCCCAGGCAGCCCCACCTCTGCAGCCGGGCCACACGGAGGTCACTGTCATCACTGCCACGAAATCCCTTGGCAAAAGGGTTATTCTCAATTTTCAGCTGTGTGATCTGTCAGGAGAGGACACATGGTAGAGTCACTGGGAAGAGAGCTGACCTCGGGCCCTCCTCCCCCACCCCCGACATATCCAGAGCCGTGGCAGAGTCTGGAGACAGTGGCCTTGCCCTTCCATCTGGCTTGTCCCTGACTCTGATCTTTCTGCAGCTTTCCAGCCCAAGCACTGCCTGGCTGCAGTCCCCCATCAGTCTCTCTGGGGACCTGTAAGCTTTTCAGGGAGCTTCCTCTGTATGCTGCCCCTGTCTGTGCAACTGCCACATCCAGTTCTAAATGCAAATGTAACTCTTCTGCCTAAAATCCACCAGGGACCCTGCCTACATCACCAGTCCCAGTGGGTGTAACAAAAAGCAGCACACGGGCAAAGGCAGAGGAGAGCAGCCACTGGTGATGGGGGAGGGGGGGTGGGCAAGAAGCAGGAGGCAGGCTGGGACCTCCCAGGGCACAGCAACAGTGTCTGGGCTCCTCTGCCCACTTCCTGCCCCTCTGTCTGCAGGCCCAGAATCCTACCTTTGGATGCACCAGGAGAAAGATTGTAGAACAAAAGGGCCTAACACTCAAACCCCAAGGCAGGCTCCATGCTCCCTGTTTTTATAGTTGCCAACTTTGTCCGTTCCCCAGAACAGTGACCCTAATTACTTTGTGCTGCAGATGGACATGTCTAGTGTCCTTTTCTGCTCATCATTCAATTTTCTCACTGCTCTGAGGGACACTGCAGGTTCCTGATGCCCCTGCACTGGGCCTGCCTCAGCCTTGCTGCGTCTTGGGCTTCACTTCCTGCCTCTCTGCAGTGGCGGCAGGAATGCCGTGTGGTGTTAGTGGAGGGGGCTGTGGCTGTACCTTGTGATTCTGGTAGGAGGTCACAGAGATGAAGGAGGTCTCGGGAAACACGTGGGTACAGAAGGCTGTGTTTTTGGAGCCAAAAGCATTGTTCTCATCAGCCTTAACAATGTGTAGCCGTGGCTGATACTTGTGCATGGAGTTGAGGATGATCTGGAAGAGAAAGGTCTCATTCAGGTCCCCAGCCTCAAGCCCCAGGTCCTTGACCTTGTTCAGTCTCCTAAAAGCCAAGGATCCAGGGCCTGACTACCAGGACTGAACCCAGAAAGATCCTAAAGCTCCCAAGTGAAGAACCAGGGCCTTGAGCCCCAAACTCAGCCTCCCTGCTCCAATACTAATGCCTGGGGCCAGGCATTATGATATGACTGATTGTTTCACTGTGGTAATGGGGAACTCAGGCTAAGCCTCTAACAGCATAAAAGCCCTACCACATGTACTCACTGTTAAATTGGAACTTATCGATCAACACCCATGTGCACATATAGTAAAACTCAATGGTAAGTAAGTAAGGTGGGAGGAGGGGACAGGTAAATTCGCACGCTAACTGGGTGATGGGCACACATACAACTTTCACTCAAACTGCGCAAAAGCAAATCACATAACCAAAACGTTTATACCCCCATAATATTCTGAAATAAAAAATAAATAAAAGCTCTCAGTGAACTCAGCACAGTGTAGTAGGTGGAATTCTGAGTTGTCAGCAAAAGTCGAGGGTGTTGCCAATTCCCTGTGTGACCTCAGGCAAGTCACTTGACTTCTCTGAGCCTCAGTTTTCATATTTGTAAAATGGGATTGCAGCACATAACGTTCCTCCTTCAGGGGACTCCTCCAGGATGACCTCTTCCCACCCCCTCACATGTGACCTGCCTTCCCCAGACAAGCTGGCTGTGAGCCCTTGGCTGCCTCACCTCAAATTTGCAACAAAAGCAGCTTAACAGCCCAGGGCTCTGCAGGATGGGGGCGAGGGAAGAGGATGAGGAAATGCCCCACTCTAACTTTTATTCATTCATGCATTTCTCAGTGTTCGCAGAGGCCTGCTGAGGGGATGCTGGGGAGACCCAGATGCATCGCACCCTCAGGCCTGCCCAAGGCAGCTGCCAGGCTGGAGGGAAGTCCATTGTGGGCTAGAGTTCAAGGTGCCAAGACAGGAGACCAGCAAAGTTCCTAAAACAATACTAGAGAAGGCCAGAGGCCCCAGGCACCCAAGGGCCCTTGAGGTGCCACGGCTGGGGGAGGCAGGTCACCCCAGCTGGACAAAGCTTAGCAAAGAGCCCCCAGAGTCACTCACAGCAGTTGCTGCTCCAAACCTGCTCGGTTTGGCTGCGCCCCACGGTAGCAGCTGCATCATGTGCCCTTAAAGTGTATTTTTTATCGTTGACATTTGCCAGACACCCTCCCCATTGGAGGCAGGACCAGGAATTTGGGGCATTTTATCAGTCCTGTGGCTTTTGTTAACCCTTCGGTTTCTGTCCTGGCTGGGCCTCAGGTCCCATTCCCCTCAGAGGTCCTTTCTCTCTACCTGGGGGTGCCCCTTCTTTGGGCTGGCCCTCCCGGCTCCACCCTTCCAGGTTCCCAGGGACCAGACCTGGCACTGAAGCTTATAGTGAAAGGTTTAACCCTTTGGTGACCAAGAGAAAGGCCAGAGTCAGGCTCTCCCCTGAGTCTTAGTTTAGGAAGACTCTGCTCTCACCATGCCCTGGGGGACAGGGAGCCCACAGAGCAGGCTCAGCTGAGGAAGGGCGTGGGCCGGGAGCTGGGCTGTGGGCTCTGGCCTTCCCTGGGCTCCTCCATTTGGCCAGGCAGCTCCATCCAGCAAGAACCAGCCTTTCCGCCTCCTGCACTGGCCACTCCCTGTCACTCCCCCTCCCTCCCACCTTCAGTGACAAACCTTCCGACCTTCTTGGGGCAAGTACAGAACTTCCCAGACCCCAAACCACGTCCTATAGCTGGGGACCCACTGCCTAACTGGGGGTCTGCCAGATGAGAAACTCGAGAGAGACCAAAGAACACGAATCCTACCTTGGGATTCACAGTGTGTGTCCCTTTTCAGGAGATCCAGGAGCCTGGGAATATTCCATGGTGAGAGGGGTCTTAGAAAACACTCCATGGTCCCTTTATGTTACTCTGTCATCCTGCACTATTCACAAAGCTGCAGGAGCCCACAAAAGACCTAAGTTCCCCAAAGATCCAGTGATTTAATACCTGGGAGGTAGCTGAGATGATGTCTCCAGAAATGCCTGGATCGTACCTATGCACTTTGCACATACAGTTCCCTCCACCTCCTGATCTTCCTTTCTTATTCTCTCTCACCTTCTAGGCCTATCATCTCTTCCCGGAAGACCCAATGCTTCCTGGAAGCCTTCCCAGATACTAGGGCCTGCTCTGAACTGCCTGTTCTGAAACTTCCTCCTCGTACATTAGCCATTTGGCTTTTATGCTGCTTCCTAGTGGATTCCAGTTTCTTCTTGTCCCTGACCGGGACTCAAGTTAAACTATAATCTCCTCAGGAGAAAGGGCCATATCTTTTATTCCTTTAATACTTCCAGGCTCCTTTGCCCCAAAACAGGATTTATTAAGCACAGGGCCGGGTTACAGGAGTGGGAAGATCTGGGCTGTGACGACAAACTTTCTGTGGGAATGTAGGCAAGTCCCTTCCTCTTTGGTCTTTACTTTCCTACTAGAGACAAGATAATCTCCAAGGGATTTTTCAGGTCAAAAACTGTGATTGAACATGTGTGTGGACAGTCCTTCTGTGAGCTCCCAGCATGCAGGACCAACCCCTGGTCACTCGGGCTCTCCTAGGGTGGCAGCACAAAGGGAGGACAAAGACAGTGGACTAACAGAACCTGAGCCACAGCCATAGGCACCAATGCCCCAGGGAGGCTGTGCAGGACGCTGGGACAAAAGGCAGCACCCACCCTGCTCCTGTGACACCTGGGCAGTCCCCACAGTCCTGGTCTGGTAAAACAAAAGCCTCTCCGTTCCCTCCCCACACCCCTGGTTCAGGCCCCTGCTGTCTCTGGCTGGGTTGCTGGGACAGCTTCTCCCTGACTCCATCTACTTCTCCTGCTACACATCCTGTCGAGTCACTCCTCTGCTCAGAACCTTCTGAGACATCCAGGAGGATCGTACATTACTTGAGAGCCAGGCCTTTTCTATTTCCTCCTCTTGCCCCCATCCCCCCACCACCACTCCTTCCAGTATACAGGGCTCAATAAATGCCTTATATTCATAATGCCACCTCTGATTATTCCCTGTTACCCCTTGAGATAAAGGCCAAACTCCTTAGCCCGTCAAACAAAGTCCCTGATGACTGGTGTGGAGAGACTGCCGAACACACCTTCTAGGAGAGAGAACCAGACAGACTGGCAGGAGACCTAAGACAAAGGAAACTTCCAGAACTACAGGGGCAGGTAAGAGCCACGAGGGGAGTACAGTCACATCCACAGAGAAGTCAAAAAGGGTCCAGAACCCTCTATGATCTCTGTTCACCAGCTGCAAGCTCTTCTCCTTCCGGCCATTGGGGTCCTATCTGTATGTAAAGTGGGGCCTTCCAGTACATGGTCCCGAATACCCCTCCCAACTCTGACGGTCCAGAACCTGGACAGGTGTCTGGGAGAAAGTCCCACCCATTGAACCAATGCAAGTATAAATTTGAGCCTCAGTCCCATCAGCCGAGAGAATATGAAACCAACTCAGTGACTCACACACCTGGCTTTGCTGGGAAGTTCCTCAGGCACCACATTAAACTACTTTGTCAGAGTTTCACATTTATATTTGTTGCAGTGGATATTGGGCCAAATGGGCCAGCCACGTCAACAACCCTGCTACATGACTGGTTCCGTCATCATCATTGTTTTACAGAAATGGGATTCATTATGTTCTGGCCACAATTCAGAAGGCTGTTCTATTTTAACAACTGCAATAGCGCCAAACATCCATCTCCTCAAGAGATCACCATAGCGTGCTTGGCCAATGAGGCCCAGATTTATCTATGTTAGAATCACAGAACATTAGGGCATGGAGAGGCAGACCATTGAGATCATTCTGGTCCAACCTCCTAATTTTACAGATGAGGAACAGAAGGCTTGTAGTGGGAACGTGACTTGCCCAAGGACACACAGCTGCTTGGAGACAGAGTCTTGAGCAGAATCCAGATGGCCTTTCAGAGAGCACACACTGCTCTCAACAACAAGCTCAGTAACTAACAAGACGGTGTCAACCAAGCACTGCAAGGGACGTAGATCACCAGGCCCTACTGTCCATCGCAGAACACACATATCTGGATTGTGGCTAATGACCATTTTGTCATATTAAAATCAGATTTACCCTGCATCATAATTTTACTAAGACTTCCTTCTCTATCGTCCTCCTTACCCGCCCCCACCCTCTAGCTCTGCAAAGAGGTTAGGACAGAGACAGGATCCACAGCTCAAAAACAAAAGAAGAAAAGAAAGCTGAGACCTGCAGAGGTAAGTGGTCCAGGGAAAATTCAAACTGGAACCGAGTCAGGCAGCCCATTAGCCCACTCGAGAGGCCTTAACCAGATGGGTCTTAGGCCTCACTCCCAGGGAAGCAACCCTGGGGTGGTACCATAGGGTCCCAAAACCTCCTTGCCTTTTCTCACAGCAACAGCAATAATAGCTAGTGTTTTCTAAGCATATTCTATGTGCCAGGCCCTGTGCTAGGTATTTTGCATACATCATATATTTAATCTTTACAACATCCTTATAAAGTAGGCATTACTGTTGTCCTCAGTTTAATAGAGGGTCAGGGAGATGAAGGCATTTGCCCAACATCAGACAGCTAATTTGAGGCAGAGCCAGAATTGGTACTAATTTCCAAGCCTGAGCTCTTACCTTTACCTGGCTGGGGAGGGTGGTGCCTGTTCTGGAGTTCTGTGGAGCATCTGTATCTCCCAAGGCATGTGGCAAGGGCGTGGCACATTGTCAGGGCTCAGAAAATGTGACAGGAAAAGAGGGCGATGAATAGCTCTGGGTCCCCACTGGCAAGTTAACAGCATAAGCTTTCAGGGGGACATCGGCCCCTGGCAAAGGAAGTATCTTTGCTGTCTAATTGTTGCCCCCTAACTTTAGTGGGTCCACTCATCCACTTACCATCCACCAGCACCCACTGGTTTGCCAGACATGGTG